ACATATCCTCATAGTATGTGCATCTTGTTATATCCCTGTATTCGCTTACAACAACCCAATTCTTAGGTATTGTATTAGGTGAACAATAGTAAAAAAAATATCTAAGTAGATTTACTAAGATATTTTTAGGTGCATCATTGTCTAATTCAATTTTCACTTTCTATCACTTTTCTTTCATTCATATCCCACACCAAGCACTATTATTATTAAAATTAACGCTCTGTCTTGAGAAGGTCCCAAATCTAGTATTGGGTGAACTTTTGTGTAAAAAGAGAAAAAAAAATTCAAGCCCAATTTCATCATTAGAGATCCCTTTAGAAAATAATTGAATCCGGCTTTGGTAGTTTCATGTTATCAAGCAATGCCTTCTGGGTTGTCCAAACAATTGTCTAGAGCCTGTGTGAACCGGAAGATATTTCTGTTTTTCACAGTTTTAAATTTCTTGGCTAATTAGCTAAAACTATGCTTCCTGTTTCTAAAAATGGTGCAGCTGATTTACAATTATGAATTTGAATATCTCGGAATCTAGTTTTCCTGCTACTGTTTCTTCTCTTTCAAATATTTGGCCAATTCTCTTTAGCTCTGAGAGAAAAAACAAAGATTTCCTCTGTTGACAAAAGCTGAAAGATGGCACTATATTTCTTATCAGTTGGGTGAACATCTACAGTGTCAGTATGGAATGTGGTACTTGGCATGCGCAATATTAGCTATTACCAAGTATCATATTCATTGACCGAGCGGTCAGTTTTCCTAAAGTTACATTTTTCTCCAGTCCCTGGCATTAGGGGTAGGATCAAAGTGTAGTATTTGTTCTCTTTATTTCTAATCGTAATATTAGCCATTTTCTTATAAAGAAACATTCATTGACCGAGCAGCCATTTCTACTCGAGTTACACTTTTCTCCACTTCCTGGCCATCCACCCGTAGCACACCCTATTCTGTGTTCAATTTCCTTATCTCCTATACGAAATTTGTTATAACTGATCCATACACCAAGCTATTTGAAGTATTTTGTATTCTATTAATTAATTTAGTGAGAGACAACTTATCGAAATACTAAAAAAGATGATATAAATTAGTTTTAGAAAATAAAATTAATCAAATTGTCGGAGTTAGCTCCTCCTTTAGTTCGTTAACCCTTTCACCAGGGGTCTCTTTTCCCTGGCTATAAATAGTCGCTGACCCTTCGCCTCTTCCTCTTTTTCCTCAGGCTTTCAGCCTTACCACCTCGCAGATATGAACGCTCACAGAGAAGCGTTTCCCAAATGCTGGGAACACGCTAAGCAAAATTAACGTACGTACGAACACTCACCACAACACAACACACACACACGCATAATATTTACCACACACACTCTGTCAATGTAACTGTCCATGTAACTTGTAACCTTTCTTGTTGTTATTAATACATATATTTGTTTACATATATTTATCCGTCTTGTGTTTGTTTTTCTTTGCCTTCTTTGGACTTAATTAAAGTCCAGCTTTCTCATGTAGTTGGACTGGCTAGCAGGAAAAATCTTAACCCACATGTCTTCTTCTACTTATACTCAACAACATCGCCGACATGAAACTCTACATAATGGTAACTCCGACATACGGTCTCCTACAAAATTATTGGTGAATTTAATTGCCTGAAAAGTAGTTTTGTTTTAAATATAACTTGGTCCATTGATTTTTTTTTCGCATTGGTGTGTGAATTCAGAGTCCAAAATTTGATTTTTTTACTCTCTTTTATATTGCGAAAAAAAAAACTTTAAAATAATAGGAATAGAATAGGAATAAAATAATGAGAAAATAGATTAGATTTAGTTTTGGGATTGTAAATGAAAAAAATATTTAAAAAAAAATGTAATTAAAATTTAGGAAAATTCCTATGAAAATATAGCAGAAAACATTTCTTGCAGCAGTTCAAATGACTGGATTCCATCCTAGTTTTATCTAATAAGAAAGATGTCCAAAACGAATATTAATTCTATTTTTACTTTGTGGTGAGCTGGAAGGTCAGTTATCCTTTTTAAATCCGTAAAAACATGAAGGACAACAATAATCTCCTCTCTTGAAATCTTGCAGATCACATCATACAGTAAATATTCAACAATTAAGAAATGGAAAAAAATTATTTTTTTTTTGGTGTGTGTGTGTGGGCGGAGAGTCTTAATTGAACATTTGCACTTTTATGGGACGAAGGTAGAAGTTTCTATTTGTTTGTTTGTTCCAGAACTTTATAATATACGACCTTTGTCCCATATCAGATGTTCCAATTCTATACACATTTTATACCGAAAAAGTTCCAATTATTATGGGACAGATGTAATTTATATTTGTTTTTTTCAACACTATACGACCTTTTTCCCATAATAGATGTTCCATTTCTACACACATTTCATACACAGAATGTCCCAATTATTATGGGACAGATGTAGTCAGTTATATTTGTTTTTTTCAACAACAATATACGACCTTTGTCCCATAATAGATGTTCCATTTCTATACACATTTCGTACACAAAATATATCAATTATTATGGGAGAGATCTACTAATAACCAAGGTGAGAGAACCCAATCTGCCTTGATAATAATAAAACGATTAAAATAGGCTAACATTGTGTTGGTGGCTGATTTGCTAATATTTCCATGATGCAAGAAGCACATCCAGTTCTTGTGCAATTTTTTTTTCTTTTTTTACAGAGTTCTCAAATAAGCAATTGGTACCAAAAAAAAAAAAACTTCCTGGATCCACATATAATACCCTGGCATCCATTTTCTGCCAAATTTGGGCAATTACTTTTTGACACTTAACTTGATTCGAATTATGGTTCCATTTTGATTATTATAGATGTTGTTATAGACACAACGTTTCGGCCAAGTACTCTCTGGCCATCTCCGGGTGTTCATTGTTTTTGTTTTGGCTGTTGTAGGATATCTGTTGATTATTGTGTGATTTTTTTTTATCTTACTGTCATGAGTTCAATCTCTGGGTCAGGCACTGAAATAAGATATACACTGGTTCAGCAGGAATGGACAAGAACTCGTATCGCAGGGATAAAATAACATAATATCAAATGGATATCTTATACCAGCCAAAAGAAAAAAAATGAAGATGGCCAGAGAGTACTTGGTTGAAACGCTATGTTTATTATAACATCTATAATAATCAAGATGAGAACAATATATTAAAAAAAATCACTCCAAACAAGGCAAGAAAGTCACTAAGATACAAGGAGTTACTGAGTGTGAGAGAATATTGGGCGAAAAAATGAATGAATTAAATTATATTAACAATTTCTCATCTCAAACATGAAATATAAAATTATTCTTTTGTGTTATGAAATCTTTCCATTTTGGTTTGATGGTTTTTCTCACCTTGTTATATGTGATTTTCATGACAGATAACACTTTACAAGCTTTACAGTTGGCCAAAGGTATTTCTTTCCTTTCATTTTTTTTCATTTGACACCACTTGTCAGAATTGAGTGTAGTCGTCTTAAAAGTTGTTTTTTTTTTTAGATGAACCATTGACATTATTTTTTAGATGAACCATTGACATTATTTTTTTTCTTTACTAATGTTCACCCAATACAAGGTCCAAAAGTCACTCAAGGCAGAGGTGTGTTTCTTAAACAGGAAACCTCTACTCCTGTTTAAAAAGACTACGGAGGAGTGTGAACCGGACGATAGGCGAACCTATTTACTCCTATTGGGAGAGAAGAAAAAAATAATTAACGAATAAAATTTCAGAGTTCACGCAGAGACGTTAGAATTATAGAGTTGAAGTAGATTTTAGAAGGAACCGGAAACCCACTCCTAAATAGGAAACAAGAGGTAAAACTCTACTCCTGTTTAAAAAGATTAGAGAGGAGTGTGAACCGGACGATAGGCGAACCTATCTACTCTTATTCATTTTTTGTTAGTACCATATTTTTTTTACTACCAAACTAGATACCGTTTTTTTCTTTTTACGCATGCCCAAAAGATGAAATGTGCATACTTTCGCTGATAGGGTTTATCACGCATGCCTTTGTGGTAAAAAGGTTTAACGTCTGCTACATAATAATAGGTATCGTAGCTTTTTCGCTTCTCCGTTCACGTGATCATGGGCAGCGTTATATATCTTCATGACCCTGACCTATTCTTCATTGCGTTGCCTCACCCCCTTCAATTTAATATAACAAGTTCATTTAGATTCATAAACCTAATGCCTTTTTAGTTGTTTCAGTAGTACGAACTTTGAATTCTCTTTGTGAACATTTTTACACTTTTTAGCTACTCTGAATTTCTTTTCTTGAGATTTTTAGTACTTTGCAGGCCAAGTTAATGTTTACATTCCCTTATCATGTGGCAGCCGGAAATAGTAAAGGCTAGAAATGCCGGACGATAAGGGTCTGTGGTAGCCGGAAGCAAGAATGGATAGGAAAGCCCAGCTAGCGTCCAGCTGGCACAACAAAAATAAATGGGCACATAACTCAATACATAACCCGTCCAAGGATCCTGCGTTTCTCCTTCTTCCAGTTCGGGGAGAAGGGAGTATAAACATTAACTGGCCCTGCATATCTAATTGTTATTTAAAGAAAATAAATTCAGAGTTGCTATAAAGTATAAAAAGTGTAAAATGTTCACAAAGAATATTCAGCCTAAGTTTGTAATACTGAAACAATAAAAAAGACATTAGGTTTATTATGAATGTAAATGAACTCGTTATATTAAATTGAAGTGTGTGTGGCAACGCAATGAAGAAAAGGTCAGGGTCATGAAAATATATAACATCTACCTTTGATCACGTGAACGGAGTAGCGAAGGGACTACGATAATTTACTTTCTCTAAGGTCAGTTCTTTTGCCCTTGTTCTAGACAAGACTAATCGCAGAAAAAAGACCGCTTCTGTTGGCTTTGTATCATACATAACTAAGATCAGACACTATTTTGAGACCTTTTCTTATCAATGCCATATTCTTCAATAATCTTTGGTTAAAGAATATTTTTCCTTTCTTTCTTCATAGACGGAAAACACAGAGAATGGTTCGGGACTGGGCACAAATATTACCAATCACCTTCGGACGTTTTTTACTGCGAGATTTCAAAAAAAGCAAGAATCTGAGTTTTAAGAGTTCATCACTGTTGATTGAAATTAAGAATCCGGAACATTCCTCCCACAACACACACCACCACACAAAAAGTGGAGGAGGGAAAAGAGACTTGGAAATTGCAATCGTCCCACAACTAAGAAACAAAAAAAGAAAAAGAAAAAAGAATCGAATTTTAATCTCCAGAAAGTGCCTTATTTCTTGGGATCATTTATTAAATTTGGAATAAAAACAAAACTGACATTATGAGAACTGACTTTTATCCTAGGGTTTACTTATTCTCTCATCTATCTGAGGCCAGAAAAAACAGGGTACATAACTTTCTTTGTCTTAACAGAGAATTAAACTTTTACATTTACATTGACGTATTTTTGTATTCTTCTATTAAATTCAATTTATCTTGATGGCATATATGATAAAATATAGTGCTCAATATCGGGGATAGAGCGCATATCAATATAAAAATGGACATTGAAGTCACCACCCAGAGGCAACAAAATCGTCAGGCCATGATTGCGTTTAGCATGAAGGAGACGGTCGAATCTGAGTGTTGAATTCAATGTTCAGTTTTATATGTGTGTGTGTGTGTGTATGTATGTGTTCGTGTGTGTACATTTTCAATAAAAATATCCTTAACAAAGAACTTTTTTTGATCACTAAGTTCAAACTACATGCAAAAGAAGCGAACACCACACACACACCTACACACACACACACACACAAATATATATATATGTGGGGGGAGGAGTGGGGTCTGTGTGCGTGTGTGTGTGCATATATATATAATATACATCAAGGAAAAGCTTAACAGGTCAATCTTTAAATTATAAAATTAAAATTTATATTTAAAATTATATTTTGACTTAATGAATTTTGTATAATTGCTGTTTTGTAGTAGTTAAGACTCTTATAAGAGTGTATGAGTGTTATATTAGTAAATTTGAGATGACTTCGTTAAATTCACTTACGTGCAAATATCCTTGAGAACGATATTAATCCATCCCTTCTCCCCGGCTATGGGTAAAATAGCAGGCCTGAGTGGCAACCTGTCGAGGAGTAGGACAACTCTGAATTGAAAACCTAAGGATTGTCTTTTGGGGATCTTCACCACTATAATCAAATTATGTGCAACTCATCAAGTTGTGTGATTCTAAGTAGTGAGTTGCTGTACTCTGGTACGTTAAAAACGAATATATATATATATATATATATATATATATAGGCAGCAATCCTTCATTTATGCATGTTTCATTAAAAACGACAGACAAGGGACTACGGTTAAGCTTTTTATTTAATTTTTCTTGTGTTCGCACAAGAGCTTTCTTTTTTGGACACATTGTGTAGAAATTGTCCAAATGTTCTATAGTTCCGAGCGCTTTCTGCTATACTTTTAGCAGAATTTATTTATGATTTTATTTTTCAGTTTAAACGAGTGCGTGTGTTATGTCTATGCGTATTATAGTGTATTATAGTGTATGTTATGTCTATGTGTATTATAGTGTATTATAGAGGTGTTTTATTTTCCGAACACGGTTAGCATATTGTGGCCTAGATCGTAGCTAATATTGTTAAGAGTTGGCTTTTTCATTTTTATTATTAGGGATTCGATTATTTTTAATCTTTTTTTTTTACCAATAGAGCTATGGTCAGATAGGTGTAAGGTAAGGCGCCTGGATAGGCATGTAGTGAGTGACCGATGTAATTATTTCTGACTTCGATTGATCAGGAACACAGTTCCTTAAGAGGCATTTGAACTCATAAATAATGTTCGTTTGTTGTAATTTTGACTTAGCTGGCGTATTGTTGTTTTTGAAGATAAGGTTAGCGGTCTTAAATTTTTATAGTAGATAATTAATTTGATTTTTTGATTTGATTTTTTTATTCGGGTCTATTGGGGTAGTGTATGTCTTTATAATATTTCTAAGTGAAGATTCGTCTTGTTTCTAGTTAATGTGCGTCTGGTTCTTGTAGAAAATATTTATGTGATTTTTGACTGTATATTTATTTTGGGGAGAAATAGTCTAATTTGGTGACTTATAAGGTGGTTAGGGAAGTCATTGTTAATTAGTGTCTGTTTTACATTATTGAGTTCTTTAAAGAAGAGTAGTCGAGAGGATGAATTCTGGTGTGCTTTTTTTAGAAAAATTTTTATTACTGCTATTTTGTATTTGAACAGTTTCTACACACCCTGTATCCCCAAAAGAAAGCTCTTGTGCAAACACAAGAAAAATTAAATAAAAAGCTTAACCGTAGTACTGTCGTTTTTAATAAAACATGCATAATATATATATATATATATATATATATATATATATATATATATATATATATATCATATCCAATATCATCTTCAGGGTTATGATGGCTAAGACAAATTATTGTGTTTGTCTGAAGTAATTTTTTGCTTATGTGGTTAGACCGTCATGTTGAAAGTTACAAACGGTGACTCTAAAATTTTTCCATGTAAAAATTTTAATGTAAGGGAAGTAACTAGTTAAAAATTGAATTAGGTTATAATTTACTTGTTTTAAAAACCGTTTAGTTTTAACATAGATATTTTTAAGGAATTATATACTATAAGCATTTCAGAACATTTGTATTATATTCATAATTAATTTTGTTGAGTGTTGGTTTTAATTTTTTTAATAAAGATACCTTCGAGAATGTATATTTTCTGCTTATTGGTGAAGTATACAGGTATTGTCGACTAATATTCTTTTAAATTGTTTTTGCAGATGTTGGGCAATGGGAGACAAATCATTCATGTGTAGAGTGAGCAGTCTTGATAACGTTATTGTAGAATAACAAATATATACATTAGCTTTTTTGTCTGAGATGCAATCTCCCAAATGACATTTAAATTGATATATAATGTTGGCTTTCTGCAATACATTAATTGGTGGGAAGGAGTTGTTACAGATGATTAAGTTAGTTGTATTAAATTTAGTATAGTATATAATTCATTAGATTTTTTTACTGAGATCTGTGGGGGATATATTAGTATTTATGAGTTTTTGTAGGATTTTTTTCATCTTCTTTATATTTAGAATTCATCTGATTACGATATAAAAGACTAATATGTCTAGGGTTATTTGAGGAAGTATTATGTTCTATTTGATTTATATTAAAATATGTAATAGATCGCCTTATTTGTTTATCAACAATGTAGTTAGGAATGTCATTATTAATACGAGTTTGTTATTTAATTCAGTGTAGAAAATCTTTTTTGTGAATGAGTTTAGCACGGTTTATTAAATTTTGTATAATTGCTATTTTGTAGTAGTTAGGACATTCACTCTTATAAGAATGCATGAGTTTATGCTAGTAGTTTTTTTTTTATATGGGAGGTAGTAAATGTATTATTCTTAGTGTCTATCAATATATCAAGAAAAGAAATTTTATTTTTATTGTTAAATTCATTTGTGAATTAAAGGCCAGAGTTTTGGGTTTTTTTTTTTAAATTCTTGTAGTTTATGTATTTTTTTTTTATTAAGATAAGGATATCGTCAACATATCTTAGGTAGATGGAGGATTTTTTAAAAACTTACTAAATACATTAATTTCAAGGTTAGCCATATAAAATTTATTAAAATTTGGGCCCATAACTATGGAAACGCCATCACGTTGTACATATATATTGTTTTTGTGATCAAAGAATGAAACTTTGGTAGTACAAGTTAAAAGTAGTTTCCGTAATATGTTGGGTCTAATTTTTAATGGAGGGAGAGATGGATTATTGTATATATTTCTTATAATTATGTCGATCGTTTCTCTGGAACATTGGTGAATAAATTTTCAACATCAAGTGAAGTTTTTGTGTCTTTAAGATTTGGATTAATTCAAGAGTTGATTTGATGCTGTATTTACTGGGGATGTATGGTGTAATAAGTTGGTAAATGCTTTTGGTTAGTTGATAAACAGGAGTGAGGATTTGGGATATAATAGGATAGAGAAGAAATTTTGGCTTGTGTATTTTTATGCTTCCATAAATGTAACTTGGTTTGTGTTGTGTATGATACACCTAATTTACATAAGCGGACTACCGACCATATAAATATTTACCGGAAGACGGGGAAGATAGTAGAGATTAAGAAATTGAATCCAGAACTTTTGAGATTTAGTCAACCCATTTGCAGGAACAGTCTTATATACCAAACTAACTGTAAATATTGTACCTATTCTTTTGTTTCAATACATTTTGTTTACATTTTGTGTTGTATTATTGATTATTTTCAACAGTTTGTAATCACCAATTTTGAGAAATTTTAAATTATCTTGTTCTGCATTATTGGCTATGATTAGTTTGTTGATTTTTAATTTCAGTTGGTTAATAGGATTCCAGTTAACTTTTTGGAAGTTTTTGTGGTCATCAAGCATTTGTTTTATCTTGTATGATACTCAGATTTATTTAAAACTACAAAGATGTTTGTTTTGTCTGCTTTTTTGACTGTTATATTCGGATGTTTTACGTAATTCCTTGGCAGCGAGTGGTTTATTCAGTAGTTTAGAAGAATTTTTCCATTTTGTCTTGTTTATCTTTTGTCTTGTTTATCTTGCCTTGGCCTTGAGTATGTCCCGAATTTCTGGTTCATTTGTTATCAGTTGCTCTCCTTGAAGTTTTTCTATACTTTGATACAACATCTCTATTTCAGTTCTTTTATTTATTTGCGGTCCAAGGTTTAGTAATTGCTTTTGTTGGTTAGTTAATCCATAGTTGAAAATATTAATAAATTTATCCATTTTGTTCGGGGGATAGATAGATCCTTTATATAGTGGATTCATTTTTTTTAAACCGGTGTTGACGTTCTGATTTATTAGTGACTAGCAGTAGAGCCCGGCGTTGCCCGGGGATGTAACAGTAAGAGATAGATCAAGTATCGACCATCATAAAGACTGAAAAATAAAATTGACAAAGATTATTGTTTAAGGTTGACGGACACGCATGTCTTAATTAGTTTTTTTTAATTTTTTTTTTTTTACGAATTGGTCAAACCCAAACCCAAACTCAAACAAAAACATTGTTTTCAATCGTTATGAATAGAATTTTCATAAATTTATCGATTGAATAGAATTTTATTATAAACAATTGTCTTGTAAATGGAATTTTAAAAGCATTCTGAATGTAAAAATAAAGAAAAAAAAAGTGTGCAAGACAATAAGAAACACTACCTGCCAAAAAAAAGTGAAGTTTTGTTGAAATCGGTTGAAAAACGTAGGAAATCCGATTCCATATATAAACGAACACACACACACACACACACACACACACACACACACACACACACAAACAATTTCATTCTCGCGATGCCTCTTAATCGCGTTTTCAAATTGATTTTGTGCAAAAACAATTGTGTTTTTCTAATTTCTGGCGCTGTCAGAACCACCGCAATGTAATTTTACGTAGTCCTGTGAAGTTTTGTTGAAATCTGCTGAAAAATGTAGGAAATCCGATCCAATATATAAACGTACACACACACACACACACACACACACAGACAGAGACACACACACACACACACACAATCTGCGTTTTATAATAAGTAAGATTTCTTTTAATCTATGTATAATTTGTTTAATTTGATCAGTAGTCTGTTTGAGTTTATTGTAGATGTCTTTTTTTTCTATTGTTAAGGGTATTTAGTTTGTCATTAGCTAATTAAATTTACCTTTTCACAAGGCTACATTTAAATTTTCAAGTGTTGGTATTCTGGTAAGCTGCTGGTTCATGTAATTTAAAATGTTTTGACTAAACAGTTTTTAATAACAAGTAAACTATAACCTACTAACAAGAATTCAATTTTTAACTAGTTACCTCCCTTACATTAAAATTCTTACAACATGGAAAATTTTGAAAATCACCGTTTGTGTCTTTACGCATGACAGGAACTGTTAACGGTTTAACCAGAAAAGGAAAAGAAAAAAAGATTTACTTCGAAGAAACACAATAATTTGTCTTAGTCATCATAACCTTGAAGATGATATTGGAATGTATCGAAAGTACTCGGAAACATAAAAATGAATACATACAATCACGGTGCCTTCTTTACTCTCTTTAATCATGAACCAGAAAAGTTTATACGTGATTCAGCCAATTATGTGCCATGCGCGATACACGCATAGGCGATCATGTATCTTTTGATGCATGACTGACGAGGCAGATTTTTTCCCGCCATGGGTTGACATTTCTTTCTGCCATCCAAGGCTATAGAACCCGGAACTATTTGCCCAAAGGTATTAGCACGTAAATGAATGTAATGGATTCGATTGGAATTCAAACTCGGTTGTCCGATTCCTCAATCCGAGTCGCTATCCATTACTCCGCCGTGCCTCCTTATACGTGATTACGAAAGGATATTATTGAAAATAAACAAACACAAGTCTAAATTGTTTAATCAGACATGTTTAAATGAAAGTATGCTGCCAAAATATTTCGAAATGAAATATATATATATATATATATATATATATATATATATGTGTGTGTGTGTGTGTGTGTGTGTGTGTGTGTGTGTGTGTTTGATATGTCCCGGAAAGGGATATATTTGAACGAAGTAGCTAAGTGGTTTTGGCTACTATAACCAAGTAGAATACGGTAGCAGTAATCGATTGGTACGCGTCGTAGTCGCAGGTAAGAAGTGTAGATCAATGGCGTAGTCGAATGGGCGTCGTTATAGACTTAGCTCTCAGACTAAGGCTTTTGATTCTGTCGTACCTACACGTCCGTCGGTATTTATGGCGGACACCAGCCAATCATATTCCAGTGAGGGGGAACACAGGTGTACGCATTATATCAGTTTCATTGAATCATTTAGACAAGTTTTGTCTACTTTCAATTGGGTCCTTTCATATTCACAGACAAGCATTTTGTGGTGTCATTATTAAAGGAAGAAAGAAAATTACCGTGCTGATACATATTATTTACTTTGAGTACTTTCGACATTAGCACAATGGCATCATCAAGTTGTTGTTTATTTCAAGTCAAATATTGTAGTGTTCAACATTTTCAAGGAAACAAATGCTGTGTTCACCTGAAGTTATATATATATATATATATATATATATATATATATATATATATATATATATATATCGAAACAAGTTTGATTAAATACAACCAAGAAAGTCTGTTTAATTTGTTTGTTTGTTGTTTTTTTTTTCAAATTTTCGAAAACTGGAAAAATACGTTACAACATTGAATCAACAGACCTTGTCATTGTATTTGATTATACTTGTAGCTTGTACTAATTATTGATATGTTGATCAGGGATAATTATGCAATTCCATATAAATTTAAATTGTTGAAACAAATAAGTTTTATCCTCTTAAATTATAACTGACACATTATGAAAAACATATTTTATAAGCCGATCAACTTCAAAGAAAATAAAACTAGTGTACCCGTGAAGTAAAAAATGACAGCATTTACTAGAAAGATTTAATAGCAACGAAATAAAAGTTTCGAAATAATGCATTGAGATTCAATAACACGTAGATGAAGAATTCACAACTAAAATAAAGGCCAACGAAAAGTTATTAATTAATCCGTCCCCTTTATATATTTTAGACGTTCAATGGTATCTATGATTTATTGATTACTGCTGGTATTATATAATTCGCTTTTTGTCCAATATATTTTCATGTTAAAATTTTACGTATTTAATATAACAGTGAAATGGAAATATCTCTAGGAAGAAAAAGATTAGAATGACAAAGACGGCGACGACAAAGCCTATTTCAAGACCAAATTCAAACAAGACAATCACTTAATAGACAAAGGTATCTGTGTGCTTCACATGAAAGGCTTGAACAAATGAGAATGTCATCTAAGAAACGTAAGAGTAAAGGAATTGATTAATTAAACTGTTCATTTTGCACGGGAACTAATTTTGAATAAATGCAGATACATAAATATTTTATTTGTATAGATTATTAAAATTACTAAGGGGGAGTAATCACTTTTAAATTTAAAAAACTTAAGTTGATTTACCTCCCTTTCCAGTACAAACGGGACAGGAAAATATAAATAAATATATATTGATAATGGTTGGATTATTAATGAAGTATGAGATTCTAACAAAGAAGATTAAAGATTTAGTCAGGTTGTAATTTACATAAAAACACATTATTTACGCCTAATTTAAGATTTATATTCAATTATCATATTAAAAAATTTTTATCTTTCTAGTATCCATAATAATTATTTAAATTTTAATTCCTTAAAAACAAGTTTAGAAATTAAAATTAATTAAAAAAAATATGCCCGAATCATATTCTTTCAACTATGCCCATGCGATATATTTAAAAGATACACATGAGAGGAAAAAATTTTTTTTTCTAGCTTTTAAGACGTTCACTACTGAAAAAAAAAAGATTTCGTATCCATACAAATCAACACGTAGGATTTTTAATTATTCACCAAAAAGGTAAGTAACTTTTCTTGTTCATACTATTTTATACTTTCTCCTTTATAAAATTGCTTAAAAAGTCATACACACATCTATCTATCTATCTATCTATCTATCTATCTATCTATCTATCTTATTCTGTTACTACGTTACAACACCTCTATTGTTTTATTTTCCTCTTGTTCGTCCCTGTTCTTAATTTGGGGACATTTTAGATTAGTTACGGTTTTGACCATTTCCCATTTGTCCCTTAGTAATTACCAGAACCAGCATAATAAATCACAGAGACAAAGCACGCGGTTCCTCCCTAAATCTACGCCCAAACGATAGCATCGCCGGTATGTAACTTCTTAACCTTTTTCTCAAGGCATTGATCTCTTTGAATATCTAATTATTATTTGAATAATTATCAAAGATTTTTATTTAGGGAAAACTCTGTGCAAAAAAAAGTGACTCACTTATTTCCTGCAACTAGTAATCAATAGAAACATAACCGAACAGCTTTAAATAAAGAATAATAGAGGTATAATTTATTTATAATAGGTAATATAGTTCGAAATATTTAATAATCTATGGGCCCTCCTTTATTTTGAATAACCTTTTCAACCCTTTTTGGCATTTACTTGATTAGGTTCTGGCAAATCTCATCTCCAATCATTGAATTCCATTCGGATATGAAATTCACGATCAAATTCTCTTTGTTGCTCAAATGCTTTCTCGAGAGCCTGTACTTTATAATGCTCCATAAGTTTTCTATGGGGTTGAGGTCAGGAGAATGGGCGACCATGTCATAACACTCACCTGCTTCTCATCAAAGTATTCTTTCATCAATTTTGATTTATGACAGGGAGCATTATCCTGCATAAAAATTAACTTGGTGGGGTCGATTTGCACCCTTTCAGCTGAAGGGAGGAGACAAGACTCTAAAATTCTCTTGTACTGCTCGCTCCCGAGGGTCTTTTCAATAGGTTTCAAGAAACCAGTTCCATGAAAAGAAAAGCATCTCCAGAACATTATACTGAATGGATACTTGACAGTACGTACTGCTAAATTCAAAGAGCTTTCAAAGCTTCTTCTTCGAATTTTAGATCGCTTATCCTTTGAATTTAGATCAACTTTCGTTTCATCGGAGAAGAGGACATTTAGTAAAAAAGCGAGTCACTTTTATCGAACAGCACTGTACTTCGTCATTCACCACCTGTTGACTATTCTATCACTCACTGTGTCATACTGTAACTTTCTTCATTTTCGTAGTCTTATTATTACAAAATTTATAACATATTGCTTTAAACAAACTACTTGCTACCTCCTTTACCCATGTAGACGCAGTTATGTTCAACCTCCGGACTCTTTTTCATATTTCTTCTTTCCCCTTTTATGTTTTTTTTTTTTTTATTTATTTTGTCATTCTGAGTAAAATATTCTGAAGTTTGTATTTCTTTCTTTTTCTAGTTTTATAGGATACAAATCCTATATTCCAACAAATGACTAAAAAAACACAAAGTAGATTTTCACACCCGCAAAATCGGATCAAAACGACCAAAAACAGATTTCATAATAAGGTGTGAAATTAATTTTCGGATCAATGAAAGGAGGCGATTTGCTAAACCAAAAAAAAGATAACGAGCCAGTGTGAAAAAAAAGTCAACAATAAATACAGAGTTTCAAGTCAGTCGCCAGTCAGTCAGTCAGAGAAGGGCGCAAAAGATCACAGAAGATTGACAGTAAATTTCATCACTGACTCAACCCGAAAAGTGGATTAGGAAGGAACAACAACAACAAACAAATTTACAACTGACTTCAAAAAATTCATAATTACATTTTCCTTTCATCTTTATTCCACATTCACAGTTTTTTTTAACTTAAATTGCTCGCCCCTTTTTCATTTTACAACTATACAAAAATAAAAGAAACAGACATTATCATGAAAATTCTGTTAAAAGACAGCGACACAGACATTTTTATCAAAATCACATTTTTTGCTTAAACGAACTAAAACATTAATTTTTTTACCCTATTCACAAGATAATAAATATACAATGTTTTTTTTTATAAACGTTCTTATCGTGTTGTTTCTTCTTGAAATTTGCGTTGTATTTTTGGGCTTTTACCCGTATTAAATTCTCCTTTAATCCGGGTACGCTGAACCCCACAGTCTGAACCCCTTTTGACTTTCAATAAACCCGTTAAAGAACAAGACTGTGTCTTCAAAGTTTTGATTACCGACATGCGTTTATCTGAGTTACGCGAGACGGACGGGAGGCAGTACATATATACATGGTTAATTGATTGATTTGTTTTTTCAACGGCATATCAACTCCTTCATGGGTCATTTAATGCTGAAATTTAATTTTCTTGGAAGCTTTAAAACAATAAAAATAGATATATATGTTATGCTGCTTTCACAATTGAATATATGGTAGATAATACTCAGCTTTTACATATAATGTTTTGGGAAGAAACGGTAAAGATTTTATTTTTTCATTTTTACAAACCTTTTCATTTTACGGCCTTTTCTGATATACAGAACATACATTTTTGCCAGACAGGATTCGAGGCATTTCTATCCCTATCATTTATTTACCATTTAAATTTTTTTTTTCCTTCATCTTTTAACTTGCTATATTTAAAAAATTTAATTTATTAAAACATTTCTTCCACTTCAATTTTTTAAGAAAAAAAACCTATTCCATTGTTCTAAGATAGATTTTTTTTTTTTTTTACAGAACATTTTCATTGTTTCCTAGCTCCGCCGAAGGGTTTTCTGTATCCTTTTTATGGAGATTTTCATTAGTTCTTCTTTTCCGATTGAAATCATTTCTTTTTCTCTGACGGGCTCGACGTTTTTTATTAGAAAAAACTTGTGCCGCATTGATCTGGAAAAATTGATGAGACCTTAAATTTGATCAGTAAATACATCGGCCGGTGGCTGGATCTTTTGAAAGTTTTGTTTGTAAACTAATTTATAGAACCCTGACGATATTCAGGCTTTTAATTTTGTTTTTTTTTTATATTTTTTTTGAATAATAAAAAAGTCAGATTTTATTTACCGGACATTTTAATTTTATTTCATTCTAAAATTGTGGAAAGGATCTCTTTGATTAAGTGCAAAAATGAGATTGTTAAAATAATTCTTGACGTTTGTCCATTTAACTTTGATGAATTTTTACGTTTTAGATCCATTTCTTTTTTTGATACTTTCATGTTCTGAAAAAACACTTGCGCAAATTCAATTCCTGTTTATATTGATAAACTATAAGTGAACCGGATTAGGAAAAGACGAAACAGAAGATTACAAGACTGGGTGAAATAATTACCATCAATCGAATATTAAACAAAAAAAATGTGGAAAGGCAAATATGTTTATTTAATAATTTTATTTTTTGTTTATATGTTCGTCACAATGAGAACGCTCATTCGTGAGATTTCCGATGGAATTTTAAAAATGCACGTCACTCGAAAAATTTTGAATGCAAGTGTATATTTTGAATTTCAACTACAGATAAAATGTATTGTTGGTAATTCCATTATAAATATGTATTGATGCTATTGTTTAAATAAAAATGCATTGCTGGTATTTGATCAAGACTCTTCACCTTTCTTCTTTTCACATAAATTATTGTAAATACGCAATTTCTTTCGCACCTACTAAGACTCCATTTTATTGTACACCTGAAGATAACTAATACTAGTGCTAAGTTAACTGCCAAGAAAGTTGGTTCACTGTATCGTGATAGATAATTTTTCTCTCCAGAATCTATCTTATATATTTATAAGTCCATGCTTAAAATATTGCTACCACATCTGGTCCAGTGCTTCTAGAGATCCTTGATAAAAACCCAAAGAAGAATCAGCTATATTATTGGTCCTGATCTGGCGTCTCGGCTTCAAATAATTTCTCACCACCGTAAAGTTGCCTCCATGTGCTTTTTCTATAAATACCTTTATGGCAAATGTACGGATGAGCTCTTCCCTATGGTACTTCTGTGAGGAGAGTTCGTTTTTCCGACGGTATACGACCGGTGCCTGACGCTTTTGCGATTGTATACGAACTGTTTATCGTTTGCAACCTTTGTTTCACGTTAAGTTACTTTTAATTTTCAATTTTCTTTCGTTTAATTTACTGACGTTTTTGCCAAAAGTTTGATTTTTTTCTTTCGTTTCTCTCCCCTCATTTTTTATACTTTATCTCTTGTTTTTTCTTTATTATTAATTTTCATTTTCTTTAATAAGTATTTTTGACTTTTAATTTTTCCTTTTAATTTTTAGTAACTTCCCCACGCAAAACTTTATTTTTTCATTGTTTATTTTTGCCCCACGTCGGACTTCGTTTTCTTTGTTTACATTTTATTTCTACGTGTTTTCATTGTTCTTTGTCGTTCTTTGTTGTAATTGTTATAGACAAGCGTATGGTTGCAAGAAAGAAATATGACAACAGCAGAAATAGATTTACGTGGTTTATTTCAACAGAAATGTGTGGGTTTAGGACAGCTAGCTTGTGGTAAAGTTCATAAGCCGGTTTCGGATCAAGGTCGATAAGTTCACACATGTTGACGGTGGTTGATTCTCTCCTGCTGCTGATCGCTCGGCCTGACCGTAACAGGTCTTTTTTTGCGGCCACCTGTGGACTGCCGTTGAACTTTTTGTGAAGTTTTTTATAGTTTTTTTTTTATGGCTTAACAGGCTCGAAAAACGAAGCGAGTATAATTAGGAGGAAGCATTTTTATTGGACGAAAAATAGAGCATTTTAAATATTATTTTATTTTTCGACCGGAACATTTGTCGGGAACATTTGTGAAAGAAAGATAATGGTCATTTTGTGATTGTTTATTTTGTCCTGTTTACATCCGGTTCTTTTCTTTTGAGTATTTGCCTGTAAATCAGCCGAGATATGTCTTATTTTATTTTTATAACATAATTAACTGTTAAATATTCTGTGTTCCTTTATTTAAGTCTTTTCTGTGTTTATTGTAATTTTTTGCATTTATTTTCCGCATTTATTTTTCTATTCGTTAGTTCTTCTTTATTTTAGTTTACGTGTTTTCGTTCGTGTTCGTGGGCTGACTAGAATTTTCTAGTGGCAGCCATATTGTATTTGTGAACTCGTTTGGCATTTTTTTGTTTCGTATTTTTGTTGAATTATTGTTAAAAAAAAGATACCTTTTGTTTTATTTTCCGTCATAAATTGTGATTATCATTTTCGTACTCGCTTTTTTGTAATTTGTAATTGTTAACTGGTTTTATTTTTAACGTATTTTGTCGTTTTAGCGTACGTGTTTTTGTAACTTATTTTTGCGTGTTTAACTGTTTATTGTTCTGTCTGGTTAAATTTCTTTTTGTTATTGGGATTTATTCGTATTTATCTTTCGTTTAAATTATACTTTTATTTGTTGTTTTCTGTTGTATGTGAAAGAAAAAAAATTGTGATTTAAAAGAAAAAAAAATGGGTCCAAGGAGGACGGCGAGGAAAAACCTGTTCGGGACTAAAAAAAAAAGAAGGATCTTCCAGATAAGAGTAAATATAGTGAGTCAGTGATGGAGGCACAAGAAATTCAGAATTTGGACGAAAATCCAAATCCCACTAAAATTATAGAGTCCCCAAAAGGAAAAAATTTACCGAGTCCCGGAAAAAGTATGGTGGCCGCTAATAGCCAAATCTCAATAGATGAATCTAGTGTTCAAGAAGGAAGTATGGTGGCCGCAAATGGCTAAAACTCAGGAAAAGAGACCGAGGTTCAAGACGAAAGTATGGTGGCCAAATCTGGCCAAAACCCTGCTAGAGAAACCAGCAGAGAAGAACAAACTATGGTGGCCGAAAGGGGCCAAAATTCGACAGACCAGACTCCCAAAAACAATGACGTGGCCGGAGAGACGCCCTCATGCTGGAAGTCCCCGCCAAAGTGTAAGATCAACATAACGGAGTTCCTGGAGAAAGCCAAGAGTTACGCACATCTGGTGACAGCAGATGGGCTCTTGTCAAATCCCGAGGAATTAAGTAAAGTTGAGAAAAGAATTGTGTCAGTCTTTGTGGTCGACAAGAGCTCGCGCAAAACTTGTCGCTCCACAAAAGATACTGTAATTAAGGCCTTGACTTCTCTGGGTATTAAAGTCCAGAGAATCATCAAAGGTAAAGGCTATTTTATGTGGGACGTACTGCTGCCCACGCCTGCCGACTGTGAAAGTGCAACGAAGAGGGAACTTATAACAAAAGACTTGATTCTGCGCACTGAATATGAAGGCAGGCGGAAGACCAAAGTAGCGGTATATGAGGTTCCTCCTCAGATTGTCGGGGAGCATCTGGCCGCCTATCTGTGTCAGTTTGGACAGATAATTAGGGCTTCCTCAGACGATCTGACCGGGGGTGGGGCTTCGAGATAATGATCAATGAAAAAGACTTTCGCTCCATCCCCAACTGCCTGGATGTAGAGGGCCAGAAAATGCCGATAATTGTTACCGGACGAAAACCGACATGCTGGAAGTGTGGAAAGACTGGTCACCTATCCTCTTCCTGCACAGAGAAGAAGGCCTCTGAAGTTCTGGCCCCCGCCCAACAAAATCCTCCTTTGGTCGAGTCTACCAAATCCGTCTCGCCTGTAGTGGGCATGTCAGCGACCGGGACCGGTGTGGAAAATCCCCCGGTTGGGTCCAAATCTCAGCCCCCATTCCCCGAAAAGCCTTTGCCCGCCGCTAACGCGAAAAGGGTCCTTACTGTAATAAGGATTGGGGCCCCTGGCAAACACGTATGGGCCATGGTAATGGAGGCAAACCAGGTCTTTGGCATGGTGCCTCCTATTGCCTACTTTGACAACGAGAATGTGAAGAAATTAAACCAGTTTTGTTCAGGGAGGCTCCCGCTTTTTCTTCACCCCTCCCTACATAGAGCTTTAAAGTTAACATTCCCCCTGGACATTGGCGGTCTGTCTCCTGATGGCACCATCGGGACTGAGAACAAATACTGGCTCAATGGGAGAGGCCGTCGGTGTCCTGACCCCAGCCATGTTCAATGCAGGAGAGCAAACCCCTAATCGGTTTCATCATGGCTCTCTGCCAAAAAATTTAAAAGTGTGAATGCCTGAGGTTTGAGGTCCGAAACTTTCGCAGAGCGAGACTCTCTCGCGATCTTCAGCGTCTCGGGGTGAATATCTGTTGTGTGCAAGAGACCCGGTTTTCTTCTTGTGACTATGAGAATATTCTGTCTAGGGGGTTTTCACTCTATTCAGAATGTTTTGATGGACGCTCGAGGGGTGTCTCTTGGATGGTGAGCAAGTCTTTGAAGGCTGCGTGTGTTCTTGTCTTCGCGGATCCGGCGGGCAGGCTTTGCGTGCTGGACGTTACCATAAAGGATAAGGCTCTTCGTCTCATTGGGGTTTATGCGCCCAATGTCCATTCTGAGCGGCCTGCTTTGTTTCGGCAGATCGAGCAGTTTTTGACGACATCACGTCGGTTAGTTTTAGTGGGTGATTGGAATGTCGTCCTTGATCCCGGTATAGATCGTATAGGGACAAATTCGGGTACTAACAACCGGGACGTAAAACCATTTCGGGTTTGATCTTGTCGATAAGTACCGAAATGAACACCCTCGGGAGGTAGTGTGGACGTGGCGGCTCGGCTAGTTATCTAGACCGAGTCTTAGTTAGGAGAGTCGATGTAGGGCTCTTAGGTTGTCCAAGTTTCCATGAGATAGTTTATTCGGATCATAGGCTTGTCCGGGTCCGTGTAAACTTGGCTGGCTACCGGAAATTAAACTCATCATTATTTGGTGAGAAAGATTTCCGGGACCAGCTTCTACTAATGATACAGAGGACACCGACGGGAGCGGTTGTGGCAAATGC